CTCCGGAGTCACAGATCATGGTAAACACACAGTGCTTCGCGACTTTTCTACCCTTTCACGCACCTGCATCTTCTTTCTTGTGACATTTCTCTTCTCTGATCTTCTTGCTTCTTCTCTGCTCTTTTCTGACTCTTCCCACCTCTGCTTTTCCATATGTTCCTCTTGTCCGAACTTTGACTTGGAAACCTCCTTTGATTGGATACATTTTAGATGTTTTGTTGCCATGATAAAGCACAAAACGGCAAGCGACGAAAAAAGATTGCACACCTGCACCAGCGTCCGTTGGTGCACTCAGTTTAGCCCTTTATATTCGGCTCCGGCTCCACACGAGTGCGCTCACAAATGCGCCACGAGCGTCCCAGAGCGACTAGAGCTCGATGGTGAGGCGCGCCCCAAGCCGCCGACCCCCCGACCCCGGACCCGAAAAACACCAAAAATCCTTCACTCTGCTGGGGGAAAGCTTTTTGGACGGAATCCGGGTCGCTCATAAGCGTCTCCAAGACCATTCCCCCCCCGTTTTGCGGGTACCTAAAATCGGAAAAAGTGCCGTTTTGACACATTTTTCGGACGATTGTTAGCTTTTCGAAATTGACAAAATGCTGTAAATTACAGCATTTTTCCGTTTTAACGTCTTTTGTGGGAGCAATGCAAAAAGCAGAAAATGCTGTAATTACAAATACTTTTTAGAAAAGAGATGCACAAAACACTGCACAGACCAGTGTTTTTGAAAGCAAAGCAAAATAAGCTTCGGTGGTATCCCCAACAGCCGCAACGTTTTGTTTTTACAAATCTTTCTGAAGCGTGTGGCGAAGCCAAGCGCTGGAAACACCTCAGCTGGGTTTCCGTGCACGAAAAGGTCGCAAATCCTGTTGAACCCAACCTGGCTCTGCACCAAAGCCTCCCAGACCTTCTCCGGAACCTCTGTTGAACCTGCCCTGGCTCTGCACCAAAGCCTCCCAGACCTTCACCGGAACCTTCTCCGGAACCCTGTTAAACCTGACCTGGCTCTGCACCGAAGCCTCCCAGACCTTCCCCAGAACCTTCTCCGGAATATCGTTGAACCTGACATGGCTCTGCACCAAAGCCTTCCCGACCTTCTCCGGAACCTTTTCCGGAACCTTGTTGAACCTGACCCGTCGCCTGCACCAGGCTATTCTGAGCTGAAGACCCCATTAGCTTACGCTGTTGGGGAAAAACACTGTAAATTACAGCATTTTTGGCAGGTTGATCGCAAAAAATGATGGTATTTACACGTTTTTTTGCAATTTCAAGAAAACGTGGAAGGCACGAAACACTGCAAATAGCGGTGTTTTGGCCACTTTTGGACGCCGAAACGCTAGTATTTACGCAGTTTTTTTGCCCGTGACGGTGCCAAACCCGTGTAAATTACAGCATGCTTTGCACTTTTTGAACCGATTTTTTGTCTTGATGAAGGAGACGCACAGAAGCTTTTACACACACAGGGGCTTTTACACAGAGAAGTCTTTACACAAAGGAGCTTTTTACACACAGAAGGTTTTACACAGAACATAGAGAAGTCTTTACTCTAAGGAGCTTTTGCGCACAAACGTCTAGGAGCCTTTACACACAGAAGCTTTTACACGAAGAAGTCTTTACACAGATAGCTTTAACAACAGACGCGTTTACACACAGAAACTTTTACACAGAGAAGCCTTTACACAGAGAGTTTTTACACACGGAAGCTTTTACACACAGTGAAATCTTTACACAGACGCGCTTTCACAGAGAAGCTTTCACACACAGAAGCTTTTACACAAAGAAGTCTTTACACAGACTGGTTTTTACACACATAAACTTTTACACACAAAAGATTTTACACAGAGAAGTCTTTGCACAGAGGCGCCTTTACATGAAGTAACAAGTTGAAATTGGCAGCAGTTCTTTAGGAACAACCATTCACAGGAGCTTTCGGGAACTCACTTGCTCCCAAAAAAAAAAGTCTATTTCCAACAAAGTTCCTATTCCATGAATATGTTCCAAAAAACATAAAGAATATATTTCTGAAGCAGATCCCCATCCAATAGCTTTCAAGCCCACACTGCGATGAAATGGAGGGTCGAGTAATCCGGCGGAGCCGACGATGAGCGTCAGCTCAAAAATATATACTGTATATACATATACACGATTATACATGTATACGTTGTACAACCTTGTTGCACTCACGCATCACATCATCTTGACTCTTGAGCAAGCAAACAGTTAAGACATAATGTCCATAGATCCTTTGCGTGAAACGGCTCGATTCTTCCACCCCAAGGCAATGCTTCGGTTACTCGCCTGCTTGTGGATCCTTTCTTCCCACATGCGCAGCAAGTCGCTGACTTTGCGGTGCCTCAAATTCTCATCGTTGCAATTTTTACTGCTTTTCTTGGATGCAAACAGCATAACTAAGATTCTAAGCCTCGGTTTCTTCCATGTGTGCCATGCCTTTTTATGATGATGTATTGTATGTGATTTGCTGCTGTTTTGCTGTGTCTTGGTGGGATTCGTAAAATGATTCTTGTACATTCTTCTATGGATATGGATCAAAACCGACTAAAAGTTTGTGGTCCAAGAGTCCCCAGGGCCTTTAGTTGAATTTGATTTTGGCCGCCACGCGCTCATATATTATGTAACAAATTGTAAACCTCATATTTTCATAATAAACCCCGATCGCCTGTTCAATTGGGAGACGGACCATTTTGTAGCAAGTGATTATCATAAAATGTCATAGAATCATCATAAACGATCAATCATGTATAAATCATCATAAATTATCAGTACCTATCATCAATCATATATAAATCATCATAAATCTATCATAAATCTATCATACTATCATCCATGATCCTTATTTAGGAGGGCTTCCCCAATAATAACCAGGATAGCCTCTGGGTGGCCGGACTCCACCACAGTGGCACGAGCCTGCTGCAGCTCGGAACCTGCAACTGTTACCCCAATAGCTGGAGGGTACCCCCATTTTAGGGAAACCTCCGTATTAATGTATTTGGAGATAGATGTCATGTATGTATATATATTATATATATAGTATGTATATGTATATGAATTTTGTATATGTAGGGTTACACTCGAAAGATGACGCTATCTAATGAAATCACCACTTTTCAAGTATAATTGTGGTACTACATCGGATACAATGACCAAGTCTCAATACCTCCCCGAAGTGACTTTGCGTCTGTAAGCCACATGAATCACATGCCCCTGTGGCTGCCTCCACTTGAGGCGCCGAAGGTTGCACCTCCGCTTCCTCAAGGCCAAGAATGGGCAGGTGGCGCGCGACGGGCACAAACAAAATGACTGCAACAAGGCATTGCTCCTGCACCAAAAGCAGAAGATGCACTTCCTGGCGAACTTGATGTGCATCTGCATGGGGAACAAGAGACTGCAGCTGAAGTTGCAAAGAATGGTTGTCACATCTGCCTGCTCCAAACAGATTGGTGCCACTTGATTGACCTGCGTATCCAGCAGAATAGTCAGCCTTGCAACCAAACCTGCACAACACCATCTGTTCAGCCCCTCCTGCACTGGCACCAAAGAGATTGCCACCTGCAAACTGAAAGGCAGAACGTAAACCACCGGACGATTTCAAGCACAACCTTTCAAGCTGATTCGATGAATCACTTAGATCACAAGACTGTTTTAGAAAAAAAATGTCCAGCAAAACAACGCCAGAATTTCTAGTCTGCCATAAACGTGGCGATGTGTAGCATATCACGGACCTCCGCTTGCAGCCCCAAACAGGCCACCGGAGCTGGCTCCTGGGCCCGAAACCCAGAGTAGCTCACCACAAAGATAACACTTTGACAAATCTGCATGTATGTCTGCAATTTTGGCTTTCTTGGACTGTCAGGACACTCGTGAGAGAAACAACATCAAAACCATCCATCAAGCATGTTCAGCCGAAATGCAAAGAAAAGAGTGTGTACACTGACACAACGTGCACAAGCAAAAACATTGAAATCAACAAGCCATGAACTGCAAAGGCTCTGAACTTTAAACTCTGAAGATACACACCCTGCATCCCTCCTCCGCTTGGGGCTGAACCAAACAGGCTGCCACCAGAGCTGGCTCCTTGCGAAAGAACTTGAGTTTATGCTGCTTCTGCTTCAATTGATTTATCCATGTGGCTGAAACCAGACCCGTGTTCTACAAGTATATTGGGATGGGAAGACGTTCACTGCCAAACTTCAAGATTCGATATCGACAAGCAATCATGTCCAAGGGCTTTACAACCCAACGTGAACAAACACTCCCTGAACCCCTCCTCCGCTTGGGGCTGCACCAAACAGGCTTCCACCGGAGCTGGCTCCTCATAGGACCATAGAAGCTACAAAAAAATCGACAGAACTTGAGCTTGCACTGCTTACACTTCAACTGATTCATCCATTTGGCGAAACAAGACCCTTGCAAACAAACTGTCAAACAGGTGTTCTACAAGTGTGATGCGATGAAAAGACATCCACTGCCAAACTTCAAGATTCGAGATTGACAAGCAATCATGTCCGGGGGCTTTCTCCTCCAGTTGGGGCTGCACCAAACAGGCTGCTACTGGAGCTGGCTCCTCACAGGACCATAGAAGCTATCACAATTCAAAAGAACTTCACCTCACACACACTTCAATTGATTCATCCAATTAGCTGAACAAGACCCTTGCAAACAAAATGCCAAGCAAGTGTTCTACAAGTATGATGCGATGAAAAGACGTTCACTGCAAACCTTCAACATTCAAGATTGACAAGCAATCATGCCCGAAGGCTTTGCAACCCAACGTGAACACACACTCCCTGGACCCCTCCTCCGCTTGGGGCTGCACCAAACAGGCTGCTACTGGAGCTAGCTCCTCACAGGACTGTGGAAGCTACAAATTTTCGAGAGAACTTGAGCTTACACCACTTCCACTTCAATTGATTCATCCATTTGGCTGAAACAAGACCCTTGCAAACAAAATGTCAAGCACGTGTTCTACAAGTGTATGATGCGATGAAAATTCGCTCCCTGCAATGGGTCCGAAGGCTTTGCAACCCCACGTGAACACACGCTCCCTGGACCCCTCCTCCGCTTGGGGCTGCACCAAACAGGCTGCCACCAGAGTTGGCTCCTTGCGAAAGAACTTGGGTTTATGCTGCTTCTGCTTCAAATGATTTATCGATTCGGCTAAAACCAGACCCTTGCAAACAAAACGTCAAGCACGTGTTCTACAAGTATATTGGGATGGGAAGACGTTCACTGCCAAATTTCAAGATTCGAGATTGACAAGCAATCATGTTCAAGGGCTTTCTCCTCCGGTTGGGGCTGCACCAAACAGGCTGCTACTGGAGCTGGCCCCTCACAGGACCATTGAAGCTATCACAATTCAAAAGAACTTCAGCTTACACACACTTCAATTGATTCATCCATTTAGCTGAACAAGAGACCCTTGCAACAAAATGCCAAGCAAGTGTTCTACAAGTATGATGCGATGAAAAGACGTTCACTGCCAGACTTCAAGATTCGAGATTGACAAGCAATCATGTCCGAGGGCTTTGCAACCCCATGTGAACACACACTCCCTGGACCCCTCCTCCGCTTGGGGCTGCACCAAACAGGCTTCCACCGGAGTTTGCTCCTTGCGAAAGAACTTGAGTTTATGCTGCTTCTGCTTCAATTGATTTATCCATGTGGCTGAAACCAGATACTTGGCAAACAAAAAGTGTTCTAAAAGTATGTTGGGCTGGGAAGACGTTCACTGCCAAACTTCAAGATTCAAGATCGACAAGCAATCATGTCCGAGGGCTTTACAACCCCACGTGAACACACACTCCCTGGACCCCTCCTCCGCTTGGGGCTGCCCCAAACAGGCTGCTACCAGAGCTGGCTCCTCACAGGACCATAGAAGCTATCAAAATTCAAAAGAACCCCTGCAAACAAAATGTCAAGGACGTGTTCTACAAGTATATTAGGCTGGGAAGATGTTCACTGCCAAACTTCAAGATTCGAGATCGACAAGCAATCATGTCCGAGGGCTTTGCAACCCCATGTGAACACACACTCCCTGGACCCCTCCTCCGCTTGGAGCTGCACCAAACAGGCTTCCACCGGAGCTTGCTCCTTGCGAAAGAACTTGAGTTTATGCTGCTTCTGCTTCAATTGATTTATCCATGTGGCTGAAACCAGACACTTTGCAAACAAAAAGTGTTGTAGAAGTATGTTAGGCTGGGAAGACGTTCACTGCCAAACTTCAAGATTCGAGATCGACAAGCAATCATGTCCGAGGGCTTTACAACCCCACGTGAACACACACTCCCTGGACCCCTCCTCCACTTGGGGCTGCCCCAAACAGGCTGCTACCAGAGCTCGCTCCTCACAGGACCATAGAAGCTATCAAAATTCAAAACAACCCCTGCAAACAAAATGTCAAGCACGTGTTCTACAAGTATTTCAGGCTGGGAAGATGTTCACTGCCAAACTTCAAGATTCGATATCGACAAGCAATCATGTCCGAGGGCTTTACAACCCCACGTGAACACACACTCCCTGGACCCCTCCTCCGCTTGGGGCTGCCCCAAACAGGCTGCTACCAGAGCTGGCTCCTCACAGGAGCATAGAAGCTATCAAAATTCAAAAGAACCCCTGCAAACAAAATGTCAAGGACGTGCTCTACACTCTACAAGTATATTAGGCTGGGAAGATGTTCACTGCCAAACTTCAAGATTCGAGATCGACAAGCAATCATGTCCGAGGGCTTTGCAACCCCATGTGAACACACACTCCCTGGACCCCTCCTCCGCTTGGAGCTGCACCAAACAGGCTTCCACCGGAGCTTGCTCCTTGCGAAAGAACTTGAGTTTATGCTGCTTCTGCTTCAATTGATTTATCCATGTGGCTGAAACCAGACACTTTGCAAACAAAAAGTGTTGTAGAAGTATGTTGGGCTGGGAAGACGTTCACTGCCAAACTTCAAGATTCGAGATCGACAAGCAATCATGTCCGAGGGCTTTACAACCCCACGTGAACACACACTCCCTGGACCCCTCCTCCGCTTGGGGCTGCCCCAAACAGGCTGCTACCAGAGCTGGCTCCTCACAGGACAATAGAAGCTATATCAAAATTCAAAACAACCCCTGCAAACAAAATGTCAAGCACGTGTTCTACAAGTATATCAGGCTGGGAAGATGTTCACTGCCAAACTTCAAGATTCGATATCGACAAGCAATCATGTCCGAGGGCTTTGCAACCCCATGTGAACACACACTCCCTGGACCCCTCCTCCGCTTGGGGCTGCACCAAACAGGCTTCCACCGGAGCTTGCTCCTTTGCAAGAGAGTTTGAACATGATGGCGTACCGGAAGATTCAAGAAATAACTTTGTCGCTAGAGCAGGATGCAGGTGGAGCGCATCTAAGCTGAAAGGCTCTCCCGCCCGCTGGACCATCAATCCTCCGCTTGGTGCTCCGAAGAGGCTCCCACCTCCGGAGCTAACTCCTGCCCAGAACAGTGACATGGTTAGAACACAACACCTGAGATCTCGCATATGGTCATCCCACCCATGCTGGAAATTCTGTACAAACACTGTTGGTCTGTTTCATCACCACTTGAAAGCAAGCGCAGGAGAACGAAAGGTAGGCAAGGGGGAGGGGAAAATCCATATAGTTTATTGTGCGTGCTTGTGACATAAGTTCTCTGAAGCCGATTTCGGCTATTTGCGAGAAGGTTTGCTGGAAGGGTTGGGCTCGTACTCTTCCAGTTGTTTGCAGTCTGAGGCTGCAAGAAGAGATTTCGCAGTCTCCCATACCTCGTGGACGTCTCTCGGCATAATGCGGTCGCTTGGCGGAGTGTTTGCCGACCCTGTGGTTTGGTACTTGAAATTTCGGGGCAGGCAAGTTTGCCATTGGTGTCAAACTGCACTGAATTGTGTTTTGGCTGGAACACTTTTGTGATCTTTTGTGAGTTTTATGTCAGCCGGGCAAACTCTGGTGTTTTTTTGATCCGATTCACTGTTTGATGAATCATCCCACGCCTTTCATCACAGTCGTATGACCGGCATGCATGTCATGCTTGAGGTGAAGCTTGGACTGCAAGTCCCCACAAACAGCTTCAGTTCGGTGCCCCACGCAAGGGACGTGCTACCCCCATGACATTCGCGACCGGCTTTAACTGTTGTTTCTGCCTTTCCCATTCTGTTTGCGAATTTACAGTAGTGGCTTCAGTGTGTAGGGGGCTGTAAACCTGATGTTCTGCAGTGGTCTTTACATCTATAAGTCTGCGGATGCATGAAGATCACATCGAGCTAACAAAGAATCTGCTTGTACACAGGGGGGGCCCTTCGAATCTACATCATCTACATTCCCTTCATAACGACAATTTTCCAAGCATGTAGCAAGCCCCCACGCAATGCTAAAGCATGGAAAGCTCAGGTAGCCGGGGCTACCTACCTTTCGGAACATATGAACCAAACGAAGGAGATGACCATTTCCAGAGGAAACCAGGACAGGGCAGCGGAGACAACCCTAACCTCCTGCCCCGAAGATACTGCCGGCTCCAGTCGTGGCTGCATTGCCTGGTGGAGCCAGAAGCCACTCGAGGCAGCGAATCCAGCAGTACACAGCGAATCACACCAATTATGACTTCGAAAAGCTGCAGATCCGTTCATACGTATGTGTATGTATATACATTTCAAAGGTATACGCATATTCATATACATGTGTATTCTATATATATACATATATATATACACGTTCTAAAGTCTAAAGGATAACGTGCCAGAGCAAACCTTGCTCAATCTCACATGACCAGGAAACTGGTAAAAGAATTATGCAGTATACATCTTTATCAAAGGAAGTTGGGAACCAATCTTCCGAGTTATGGACAGATAGAATTGTGAGACTCTACATCACATAACAATACACTCAATGAAGGGTGGTGTGAGACTTGACATCACATAACAATACACTCAATGAAGGGTGGCGTGAGACTTTACATCGCACAACAATACACTCAATGAAGGGTGGTGTGAGACTTGACATCACATAACAATACACTCAATGAAGGGTGGTGTGAGACTTTGCATCACATAAAAATACGCTCCATGAAGGGTGGTGTGAGACTTTATATCACATAACAATACACTCAATGAAGGGTGGCGTGAGACTTGATATCACATAACAATACACTCAATGAAGGGCGGTGTAAGACCTCACATCACGTCACAATACACTCAATGAAGGGTGGTGTGAGACTTTACATCACATAACAATAAACTCAATGAAGGGTGGTGTGAGACTATGCATCATATAACAATATGTACACTCAATGAAGGGTGGTGTGAGACTTGACATCACATAACAATACACTCAATGAAGGGTGGCATGAGACTTGACATCACATAACAATACACTCAATGAAGGGTGGTGTGAGACTTTACATCAGATGACATAGAGAAGTGCTGACGAAGAGAAATGGTGACAAAGGCAAGTGGCGTGTTTGCAGATCGCATTGGAGTGGCTGCATGATTGTTGTCATCTGGTGTTGCCATGTGCGTAGAGAGATGCAGGTTTGCTACGTGATGCTGCGAAACGTATTGTAATGGCTGCATGAATGTTGCATGGGCTTTGTTTTGGGGAGGAAGCCGGAGCACGAAACCTTGTATTTTTCCGTTTAAAGTGGCTGCAGCCCGCGATGAAAGGCACCTCGTGTGTGCGGCGGCTGCGGCTGTGGTCGTTCCGGGCGTAATAGGTTCCTCCTCTGTGTTCTGAAACGAGTGGTTGTTCCTGTGTGCGTAGTTCTATGCGTTTCTTGAATCTATGGTTGCAGATCGCATTGAAGTGGCTGCATGATTGTTGTCATCTGGTGTTGCCATGTGCGTAGAGAGATGCAGGTTTGCTACGTGATGCTGCGAAACGTATTGTAATGGCTGCATGAATGTTGCATGGGCTTCGGTTTGGGGAGGAAGCCGGAGCACGAAACCTTGTATTTTTCCGTTTAAAGTGGCTGCAGCCCGCGATGAAAGGTACCTCGTGTGTGCGGCGGTTGCGGCTGCGGTCGTTCCGGGCGTAATAGGTTCCTCCTCTGTGTTCTGAAACGAGTGGTTGTTCCTGTGTGCGTAGTTCTATGCGTTTCTTGAATCTGTGGTTGCAGATCGCATTGGAATGGTTGCGTCAAGGTTGCTTGGTGCCGCGGCTGCATGCGCAATACTATTGTCTTTTGCAGCTGAATCTCGTAAATAGTATTGGAGGCTGCATCAAGGCTGCGACACTGGTTTGTCTGCAGATTTTTCAATTTCGGCGCTAGCAATTTTCCTTGTAAAATTCCTTTAAAAAGTGCTTCAAAATCTGTTTTTTCCGCTTTGGCGTCGAGATCCATCCGGTTGTGGAGCTGCAATTACCGACGCCGTTGCGCATAGTTCTATTGTGTTTCGCAATGCTTGTCTTTTGCAGCTGGATCTTGTAAATAGTATTGGGGTGGAGATTTTTCAACTGAGACGTGCTTTGTGCAAGCTTTGTTGTAGAAAGTAGTATTGGGACGTGCTTTGTGCAAGTCTTGTAGCACAAAGTAGTACTGGGAAGGACTTTGTGCAAGCTTTGTAGTACAAAGTAATACTGGGAAGTGCTTTGTGCAAGCTTTGTAGTCCAAGGTAGTCAAAGGAAGTTGGGAAGCAATACTTCCATGTTACGGACAAATAGAATAGAATTGTGAGACTCTACATCACATAACAATACAATCAATGAAGGGTGGGGTGAGACTTTACATTACATAACAATACATCACATAATTAAAGGACCGGATAACCCCACAAGTCAACTTCTTCCAATAATGATCTACAAATGTTGTAGGGGGACGGGGAAGGAAGGAAAGACAAAGGATGTGATGGATGATCGAGAAGTAAAACAAGTTGTATGTGAAGAGTTGTGTGTGTGACAAAGTGGTATGTGAAAGATAGCGTGTGACAAAGAAAATCCGGGTGACAAAGTTGTGTGTGAAAGATGGTGTGTGTGAAAGTTGTGTGCGAAAGAAACGTGTGACAAAGTTGTGTGTGAAAGATGGTGTGTGACAAAGCGGTGCGTGAAACATGGTGTGGCAAAAGATGGTGTGTGCAGAACATTACTTAATAGAGGGCGACACATCACGGGCCCTTTTGCATGAAGCAAACGAAGACATCACTGTGCGATGCAATCGGATCTACAGCAATCTCTACACGCAAGTGTCACGCGCCAATGTCACAAGCATTGACAACTCACCAATAACACCAAAAATCTTAACATAACAATAGAAATGAAACGTCACCAGCGACCAATCCAGTGCAAGCGCGCCACCAGAGCCAGCCCAGTGCCCTAAGTGCCACGCCTGCCACGAAAACGAAAATAGATGTCGCCAAGTGCCACGCCTGCGACGTGAGGGGAAGGCAGATGTCGCCAAGTGCCACGCCTGCCACGCAAAGTGCCGCGGCGTCACCGGCGACCAATCCAGTCCAAGCGCGCCACCAGAGCCAGCCCAGTGCCCTAAGTGCAACGCTTGCCATTGAAAACGAAAGTAAAGTAAATGTCACGAAGTGCCACGCCTGCCACGTGAAAGGAAGGCGGATGTCGCCAAGTGCCAGGCCTGCCACGCAAAGTGCCGCGGCGTCACCGGCGTCCAAGCGCGCCACCAGAGCCAGCCCAGTGCCCTAAGTGCCACGCTTGCCACGCAAAACGAAAGAAGATGTCACGAAGTGCCATGCCTGCTACGTGGAAGGAAGGCGGATGTCGCCAAGTGCCAGGCCTGCCACGCAAAGTGCCGCGAAGTCACCGGCGACCAATCCAGTACAAGCGCGCCACCAGAGCCACCCCAGTGCCCTAAGTGCCACGCCTGCCACGCAAAACGAAGGTGGATGTCGCCAAGTGCCACTGCCACGTGAAACGAAGGCAGATGCACCAAATCCCACCTGCCACGAAAACTACCACGCAAAACGAAAGTAAATGTCACGAATTGCCACCCCTGCCACGTGAAAGGAAGGCAGATGTCGCCAAGTGCCGACCAATCCAGTCCAAGCGAGCCACCATAGCCAGCCCAGTGCCCTAAGTGCCCACGCCTGCCACGAAAACGAAAATAGATGTCGCCAAGTGCCACGCCTGCCATGTGAAACGAAGGCAGATGTCGCCAAGTGCCACGCAAAGTGCCGCGGCGTCACCGGCGACCAATCCAGTCCAAGCGCGCCACCAGAGCCAGCCCAGTGCTCTAAGTGCCACGCCTGCCACGAAAAACGAAAATAGATGTCGCCAAGTGCCACGCCTGCGACGTGCAAGCAAGGCAGATGTCGCCAAGTGCCACGCCTGCCACGCAAAGTGCCGCGGCGTCACCGGCGACCAATCCAGTCCAAGCGCGCCACCAGAGCCAGCCCAGTGCCCTAAGTGCCATGCCTGCCACGGAAAACGAAAGTAGATGTCACAAAGTGCTACACCTGCGACGTGGAAGGAAGGCGGATGTCGCCAAGTGCCAGGCCTGCCACGCAAAGTGCCGCGAAGTCAC